CTACTCTGTAGTCAAAATATTCAATGGAGTAAATTCTAGTTTATTGGATCAATGTTGGAGATGATATTCCACATAATAATTAAGTATAAAACTCTATTGCTTCTTCTGTAAGTTACTTTGAGATGTGAATGAATTTAAGATTAATTCATCTACAAAATTTGAATAAAATGATCTTCCAATAAGACAATGATTGTGTTATGATCCTTGTATGCCATTATAACTTCGAAAACACTGTTGCAAATTGAATGAATTCATAATTTTACATCCAATCAACTAAGTCCACTTAAGATCTGAAGGTCTTTATGTTATAAACAATTTTTAATATCCAACTTGATACATGGCTAGTGCTTTATACATGACCGTCTTATAAATACTTCTTCATGAAGGGGGATTTACATCTTAAATTTATGATTTTTTTAAATAGGTCAGTAGTTGATGCGAAATCTGTTTGTAAGCTGTCAGTACAAGTTTGCATGAATGCGGTACATAGTACTAAATGTCAGTCGAAGTGCGTAATATATATTCCGTATTGTGTCAGTTATATTATCTATATAGATCTAATTAGATCCAATGTGTGTCAACAATGTACATCTATGTTAATGTTTATTTGGTCTGTCTCTCCATATGTATTTAATAGTCAGTTATGTGTGAAGGATGTAAATAATGAATGTATGGTCTAAAAACTTTAAGTATTTGTATGTGTTCATTAAGTCTGTGCATTAACCTGGTTTCTTGGAATGTCCCCTATTTAGGGACCATTTACACATAATTAGCATTTAAATAAAGCTAAAGCTACCGTAACAAATTAATGACCTACATAGTATGTATTCATTGGAAAACATGAGAAAAACAAACTACCAGGATATACAGAGATTAATGGCATATGGGAAAGCTGAGTATTAATTCTGCAATACAGATTTTTTTAAACTAAATATAGAAGTAAAAACGTGTGTAGATAAACACAGATAGCATAATAAATAGAATTTATATGTATGTATATCTGTCTCTTATACACATCTATAATATATATATGTATATATATATATATATGTATTTCTATCATGTAATATAATATAGTATGTTTTATAGCGTTAAATTTGAAAGTTGCATACAACCTTCAGTTGGATTGTCTACTTGTTTGCATCTATTTCCTAGCTGCCTTAAACCAAGATTAATATAGCAGTGATCTGTTGCAATCACTTAAATAATTGTTGAATTTGTCATTTTATTCTTAGCCCATCTCAGTCATTCAAGCTACTATTTTGACATCTTCATTTTGATTATATTATAAATCACTCATTTTGTAACAAATTGAGTTAGGAATGTTTTTATTCCTGAAACGTTTGTCTCATAGGAAGGTTTTATGCATCTGCATTTAAGTGATTAAAACAATACATTTGTCGACATAAAAGCAAGGACAATTGACTTTGAATTCATCGGCTGTGTGAACAACGCCTTCTGTTACCAGCCTTAAAGGTTGGATCCTAGTTCCCCAGTCTACATGTTTTAGTCATGTCTTTTTGACACCTGTAGTTTGTGGTATGCTATCGTCAGGTCTGTGGGAGCGAGCCACATGAGTGCAGTTGTGGCGCCACTAGTTGTTTAGGGAGGACGTTTTCCTCCATCAGACAGGGATGGACCCCTGTCGTCCTACGCTCCGTCAAGGTCATCAGATCAAAAATAAAAAAGTTTTTAATTTGCTTATCCAAATAATGTTATTCTGATTGCCAGTCCTTAATATTGCGATAAGCCATAACTCATCCTGTGAACCATTCCAGAGATTATTTATTTCAGGACTCCCCCTCGTACATGTCGGACCCTTTGTCGGCACATTTCTGGAGGCACCACTGCTTGAGTGGTATATTCTGTAGGCAGCCCTTCCCATCTGTATATTTCAGACATGTCTTATTACTTTACATATGTAGACCAGCTTTACTAAATTGATAACTGCTTGTGGATAATTTAATTATTTTATTTATTTTATATAATAGAACAAAAAATTATCGAATGCATTGTTTCCCTGCCCTGCCTGCCCAGTTGCTGAGTAGTCATGATTTTAATCATTTTAAATTATTTCTTTGTTGTCCTTAACTACAACATGTGATGAATACATACAGACACATATTCCTTAGCCATCACTCAGTTTGAGCTGCCATTTACCAGACATCATAATGGTAATTCTATTTGTATGAACCTTAAATTTTTATTTATTACAGTACTTGTCGAAATTATATTTTTTACACTTGCAATTACAGTTAAATAAATAACTATCAGTATTTCCAATTATGCCTGCACTACTTTTAATCATCTCAGTGTGGATTCCGCCGGGTCCCGGAATTTTCCTGTTATTGAAGGATTTAAATCGCAGACGATACCTCGTCAATATTAAAATCGGCCTCAAGTATAGGATTTGCGGAATCTTTATACCAGTTAAACCCTGTTAACATAGTTCTCGAAATCTGTCTTTATTCATAAGATTCAAAAAGTGATTCTACCAATCCCTCGGGCTGATTGAGTTTATACGTATTTATGCTGAATCTCACAAAGTTCATTATACACCTGCTAGAAAGCTTTAGGGATGTTAGTTTATTAATTATAGCATATTTTTTTTAAACACATATATCAGTTGAATTTGTTTCTGGGATTTTTTTTTTGTACTCAAGCAGCGCTAATAAAACTGCGGTATCCAGTGTAGCCAAAGAAACACAAGATAGAACTCAAGCATCTATGATGTATTCACCACTGTCTGTCCAGTGGCACAAATCAGAGTAAGGTCCTACTATGATGTATTCACCACTGTCTGTCCAGTGGCATACATTGCTATAGTGCATCGTGGTGCATAGAAGTTTTTATATATTCTGAACAAGGCGCCCCATATTTTGTACTCCCCATTTTAAAAATGTTCACCTTTACAAAGAATATAGACAGTTTTACCCACTTCCTTCCTTTACAACACTAAGAAAGTATAATACATACTCCAAGAATTGAAATACACGCCATCGTGTTGGGATTCAATATTTCGACATTAATTATGTCATCATCTGGAATGATGATGACATAATTAATGTCGAAATATTGAATCCCAACACGATGGCGTGTATTTCAATACTTGGAATATGTATTATACTTTCTTATCTGAGATTAATCAGTGGACCTTTCGGTTTTTACAACACTAATCATCTAATAAAGGTGCAAGATTTCATAAAATTGAGGGGTTGGGAAAGGCAGAAAATTTTTGGAGCAAGAGAAAAGAAAATTTACAATGAAATGCCAACCAAGAACCATAGTTGTTGTATGCCCATATATAGTCATGATGTGCCTATATATAGTCATGGTGTACCCAAATATAGTTGATGTACCCGCCCAAACGGAGGCGCGTTTGAGAGGGGTATCAATCTCCCAACAGCTGGAAGACAGGGGACTACTAAAGAAACTTGATGGTAGCAGAAGCGGTTTGGTGCAGCGGGAACGGTTTGGTTTCCCAACCTCAAGGTTGGGATTTCAATTCCTCGCTGTGCATTTCACTTGTGTCCTTGAGCAAGGCACTTATCTGCATTGCTTCTCTCCACCCAGGAGTCTAAATGGGTACCTGGTGGGGTTGCCTGCTCCTGCACTGATTATCAGCTGCAACACTTAAAGCATGTGGACCAAATGACCAGGGAAAAGAACTGCGCTTTATAACCTCAAGGAAGAGGTGCATTATAAATGAATATACCAGTAGCAGTAGAGTCGAATATAGATAATGCAAGCCTGTAATGTAACTATACAGTAAAAGGGTGGAAGTATGTAATGTGTATGATCTTTTTTCATTTCAGGTTTAGTGTGTTTTGTAAGTAGGCTAATCATTAAACATTATAATTACCTAAACCATAAAACGTTTTGTACTGTACATTCAAATACACTAACACAATACAAAGCATTTTAGTTGCTGTTCTAATGAATAGATCGTGAACAAATTATTGATTGATGATACTACGTGATGAAATTTTTTTTCTCGGGAAGACATTGAACTGGAGGTAAATGCCCCTTATGTCTCCTTCAATCTCACCCATCATTCCCCCTTTTGATGTCACTGTGTACATGCACCTTGCAAAGGTATTAACCGACAAGTTGGCATTGTTGCTTGTCCAGTGAAAGACATAAAATTTATATGAGATTCAAATATTCTTCTCCTTGCCTCAGCCCCTTTATATTTCCAAAAGAATTTCTCACTATTAGCAATGATGTAATTTTCAAGGGTAATCGTTTTTTGTAGCAGTCAATCTATAAAAACAGGAAATAAGCTCATGAAGAGTGTGATGGGGAATGAGCAATTAAATACTCTAGTACAATATAAATTTGAATCTCTAAACTGAGAATATAAGCTGGTACCTAAACTGAATTAATCACTATAAGAAATGTTTTAACTTCCACACCCCAAAAGATATAGTAAAACATTTTTAATAGTATGCTCTATATGCTATACAACAATTGTATCCATAGTCATCTAGATGAAATAAGCATTAAAAAAATATAAAATATATAACCCTTGCAAATTGCCACAAGATAAAATATGAGTTGACTTAAAAACAGTAAAATTAAATTTATTAAATAAATAGTACAGGCTTTTAATAATAATAATAATAATAATAATAATAATAATAATAATAGTGTAGTTTTATGTAGTAGCGCCATATCTATCTAATATAAGATGCTCAGGGCATTTGTTATGCAGAGTAGGAACTTGATCAATGATTTTATTCGCCCTAAGTGTCCTTCGTGTCTGTGCTACCCGGTAACCTAGTACCAGCAACTCTCGTCATCCACCACAGGGGCTGTCTGTTCCAGTATTTAATATGATAAATAGCCCACACTGTTTAAAATTCATCAACAGGAGAATTGAAAACAATTAAATTAGTAATTATAAGAAATGTAGTTTTTATTTTAGGCAATTACTGTATAGAAAATTACCGAAATTTTGATACAGTAGATTAAATACTCAATTTTATTTTCTCCTTCAGCGGATGTGAAATGTAATTGGTGCCACATGGACCGACCCATTGTCCAGCAATCAAGCTAATGTCTTTCACCAAATCACATCTGTCACCAAGTCATGGACTGACCTGTCACCAAGTTAGCAGAATCAAGCCACGGAACTGTCACCATTTCACATTTGCACTAGCCTGTGAACAAATCACCTATGCTACCAAATCACTGGCCTGACATCAGATCACCAAATTACATCTGCCACCATGTCACTGGTTTGTCATCAAATCATATCTACCACCAAGTCACTGGCCTGTCATCAGATAACCAAATTACATTTGCCACCAAGCCACTACTGTGTCACCAAGTTACAGCGTCACATCAGTCACAAATATATAGTGGCCTGCCACCATGAGCTGTAAAGCAAGCTGAAATCTTGGCACCAAGCCACTGGCCTGTCACCAAGTTGCACCTGCTATCAAGTCACTATGGGAAGCCTGCCACCACAATAAAACGGTGGTGGTTGCCAAGCAAACCCGTCACAACATAAGCATGCTCTGAAAGATATGACAACTGTACAAGTCACATAAAAATGATGTTGAATTCATTCCTACTAGCCATAATTTAATTAAGACATTAACTAAGATGATAATATGCCCTCTGCGAAAACGCACCTCATCAAACTCGCCATTAAAATGCATAAGAGACTCGCATACATGACTAGCAACCTCAATATTGATCAATTGTTATAATCTGTTATTGGATTAATATGATTAAACATTTAAAAGTTGCCAGGTAGTGTACCTTGAGGACTCGTAACTGAGCATGTATATCACATATGTATGATTTCAAATCTGTTTAATATTAATCTAAGCAGAAAAAGTTTTTTTTAAGTGTATCTGCCAGGCATTCTTTGATTTGTTCAACCATGTTTTTATCGCTATAATCCAACATGAATTTTGTGGTTATTAATACCGTTTAAAATACTACAGACTAATTCCTACACAAGTTTTTTTTTTTTTTTTGGAAAGTTACTCTGCTACATTCCAATGAACAAATATTGTACAAAATGATAAAGGAGAAGGTATAGATATTTAATTACAAGTATAAATTGCATTTAAGATGAAACTATGAGTTTGGGTTAAATATGATTTGGTTATCCAAGTCTTTTGGTGATACAGAACTTAATACCTGCTTTTATTTGATGTTTTATATATCAAACTAAAGACGGTTTTAAATTATCTATCAAGCTAGCCATAAAAATGTTCCCAGCAAATGTGAAGCCAACAGCAAACTCTCTATGTTTACCGTCTAAGTCAGACCAAGACCAATTGCAACAATGCCATTGTTTGTGCCTGTTTAGGGCTAGCATTTGCTCAAATACAACAAATTATTGTTAATATAATTGATGCATGTTTATGAATCATTTACATAATTAGGCCTCTGATACTGTATTCTGTTCATATTTTTATTCACTTTTGTTTGGCCATCAGTAACAGTGTCCCATGCTCTGTCAGTATACTTTAATATCGTTTTTCTTTGCTTTTATATTGTACTTTATTATTTTATTTCATTCTGTTGCACAAAAAAATAAACTTAAGTGAAGAAAAAATACATTTGAAACTTTTCAATCTTCATTTTTTGAGAAGAAAGTGTTAATGAAAAAGTGAAAAAATAAGTAAAAATTTATCTGGTTTCAAACAAAAACGAACATCAAAAAAGAAAGTAGTTGAAAATGTAATCATCATTCCAAAATTATTAATACCATGTTCTATTTTTAGAAGGACAAATATGTAACATGTATAAAGCTGTTTTATAATTAGTGTTTGTTTTTATAAAGGAAATATTTGAGTTCTTTTTCAAAGTATTAAATGAAAATTTGGAAGTGCTTTTTTCTTGAAATGAGAAACGTTATATTAATGAGTTTGTTATACAACAGTGATTTATAAAAAAAAAAGGGCTAAAGTCTGGATTCAAATGTAAGAAACATTTGTTACAGACTTGCAGGGAGTTAATTAATAAACGTTGATGAAACATCTTGCACATTGGGTATTACCTTTTGTAGGATTTTTGTCTGTCTGACAATCTCAAAATCGTTAAATTTTGCGTTGCATCATTTATTGTTTTTTTATTGCATTTATTTACTGAAACTTTATACAACTCGTAGCATCACTGCTGAATTACTTGTATTCATTAAGTGAAACATTATAAACTTGAAAAATGAAAAACCTGTTCTATACATAATCAGTTATCAATTTGAACTTCATTGATTATCGTTAATCAAATTTAATCACTATTTCTAAAATGCACAACTCGTACTTAAGGAACATCACTGTCTTAGGGATATATAACGGTACTGTGAGAACTGGTCAACCTAAACAACGATGAGTATATTATTACTCTAAGAAAAATCAACAGCAAACTTAAAACCACAACTCAATCCAATGAGTAGGCAACTTCACATCATTATACGTGAACATCAATTAAACATCCTGTGATTGGCCACAGAGAATAACCTCCATTTACATATACACCAGTTACAAGAGTTTCGTGCGTGTACGTGTGATGAACACTTTTACTTGCAGATAAACCTACCTATGAAACCTGTTAACCTTATTTTCATCATCAGTATCTCTTAATCTCAATTCTATTAATTGGAATGAGGACTTCATTAGTACAAGTATCAGCGCAACTCAAATTCTAATTATGTTTTCAAGTCTAGGGCTTCATCAACTTGAACAATCTCATATGGTTTCCAGCTGTTAATTATAATGATGAAGATGGAAATATTTTAGACAACTTTTTTCATTTATTGTTCTTTACGCTTGAGGCCTATTTAGTTGATATCCTATGTTCTTGGGCATGAAAATGATATTGCTTCCATTACATGTGTTATTCCAAGGAAAAAATAAACGCCTCGGAGAGCGTTGATTCGATGGATGGGAGCATTTATTGGAAAACAAGATAGTAAAACAAAAAACTTCTTAGAGGTTTGCCAGGAATATTAAGTCAAATAAGCAAACGTTTTCGGTTATCAACCTTTGTCAGGTTGCACTTTACATAGCCCTACTTCTTTTGAAAATTGATATACGTTATCATAGCTTCTCAGCTAAGGTGAATAATGTTAAAATTGGTATGATTAAAATGTCGTTGAATTTCTTTCGGAGTAAAAGGGATTGTTAAACTGCTTATCGTAGTGTGCTACTTTAGATTATTGCAATACTGTGAGTGGTTGAAAACTATTATGAAAGGTTCAGTCCCGAGTTCAGCAAAGGACAACACCACGATTTTCAAAGCTTGGCATCTCTACCTGGTAAATTAAAAAATTACTACATACATAAGCTTAATACAGGAGAATACATAGAGAAGATGATGATTCATTTTTAATGGCAGTGAACGTAGGACGATGTACGTCTTATTATGCAGTAGATCAAGTAGAGTTTTTTTTTATAGGATAATACGAATGTTTCCATGTAATTAAGGCCAAGGCATCCTATTGATCTCTCTGTCCGAACTTTTGCTGATAATGTTCTTGGCCTACCTCCCATTTGTAACCGACTAGTACTGATGATTTACAAGCTCTAGGCGGTCACAGGTAGAAGAGACTCTAGTCAGTAGAGGAGTCATGGAGTTTCGGTCTCTACCCTCTGTTGGTAGTGAACTAGGCGCACTTTCGAAAGTCCCTGCAAAGAGGGTTAGGCTCATGCTGGGGGAGGGGGAGGAGGTCGAATATACCCGGCCCAAAATCCCTCACAGTACGAAGTTGCTCTTTATCAATATTGACTCGGGTATTGACTGCATCTAGGGACGTCACCTATTAATATATTAGCATTGCTTTAGGGTCTAATATTTCTATAAGAAACATGATTACGTCACGGTTATAAATCGTATGTATTCATGTATACTTCATGCATTATTCATTATTCTCTTGCTGCATACGAACTATTATTAGGGCCTAAGAAACAGTGAAATACAATATATTCAACAACACTTGGTTATCCGCAAGTAACTTAGTATGCCGGTAATCGGAGCTTTAATGTTCGATTTCAAAAATAAATGAATCGAAATTAATTACATTAAATTTGGTTTATGTCACGCCGATACAATATTATTATGAAATTAATAATTTTTGTTAACAGGAGTATTGTTCCAGGATGGAATTATCATCTTTTGTTGAGACAGCTTCATTCTCGGATATCGTTTGCACTCTCCATAACCTTATTGCCAATTGCATTACAAGTATTAATGTGAATCCATAGTAGTATTAGTACGCATGGTAAACAAAGTAGAAGGATTTGGCTTATAGCAAAGTGGTTGCTGGATTCAGCGGCTCAAATCTTTAAGCGCATTTCGGTGATTATGCAATTCAGTGCACGCACGCCCTCTGTATCGCAGATATGACTACAGTGTGTTACAGGGATTAATTCAATTGCGTTAAGCCAAAGATTTATATTATTTACCGAATTGTCACAAGGGTGGACCAGACGGTAAATGAATGGATAGATGCACATGTATGGATACATATATAGAAAGATACATATGACAAACAATCGAACAAACTAATAAGATAATATATGTAAATGGAATAATAAATATATAAATTAAAGAAGGAATGAAGACATAAATACAAGAATGAATGAATGGATGGAATACCTCAGTGGTTACTTTACGGTTAACTTTAGTAGTTCGGTTGCCGCTACCTGCTGCATCCGAGTCTACCTAATAGAGATTCTGCCTAATAGATCTGATAAGTATCGGTTTCGGTGACATCAACATTCATGATGCCGTCACCAAACCTGATTAGGTGATTCTGATCAGATGATTGATGACTCGTGCTGTCACCAGCATAGAACTGTATGAGCATTTTATTTGTCACCAAAACTGATCACTTAGGTAGAATCGGCTGCCTGCCTCCCATCGCGTGTAGCTAAAATTCGTTTTTTTTTTTTTAATGTTAATTAATGTTATGTAAGTTAAAAGCCGACGAATCAAAACTACCTACAAAGTAGCGACGCGATTGGTGAAAAAAACATGTGATGGTTTTTTTGTATATTTTGTTTCATAATTGATATCGTCTGCAATTTTCTTTTTTGAAAGTTCAATTCAAATTTTCACCTGTATACCGACACTTATCATATCACAGATCATCACTCCGTGAAAACGGAAGCTTAACATTTTGACCAATCGAAATTAGCTCTATACATCAATGATATTCAAAAAGACGTGCATTAATTCGTTATATTAGATAATATCATTAAGTTAAGTTAAGTTAAGCATTTAAATTGTAACCTAATTTATAAATTGCTCGCTTAGTATTTAAAGCGATTTGAAAGAGACGCATACATTTTAACAGACGCATACATAGGCCTAATATATTTCCTATTCATTACGTGGACCATTGAATGGTACCGTAAATAATTGAATAATAATATGAACATAATATGGATGTAATTAGAAACGAATTTTCATTCGGTATTATCAAGTAATGATCTTATTTCTTTAAAGATTAAGAAAATATGTCTTGAGTATAACTTTACTCCATTAGCATAATTCGATATTCATAGTCCCTATCTGTGTTCTAAGATACAAGCGCTATAGTGCGCCGATGATAAATTATTTATTGAAAAAAACAGACATAACAAGTCGCCACTTAGTACGGTACGCGTTGAAGGCGAGTATCAGCATAAGAATGAATTGTTCATGGAGAGTCAAACTTGGATTAGTAATTAAATATGTGAAATGGCAAAAATGTTATTTTATAGCAATTACGTGAGTGTTGATATGTAATGTTTTGTATTATTTATTTACATACTGAAATTTATATGTGAAGAGGAGAATCATTAGCGTATATTGCACTTCATTTGGGCCATGTTACATGATGCCTAGGTCTATGTGTGAGACCGGTTGGCGCAGCGGTAACTTTTCGGTCCCTCAACCTCGAGGTCGGGGGTTCGAACGTTCACTGCAGTGGCGTATCTAGGGGGCGCACGGCCCACCAAAATGACTCGCCCTCCCCCACCACCCCAAAAAAAAAAATCACTTGCAAGTACTTAAAAATCACCTTACTTCGACGCCCCCACAATTAATCATGAATCCCCCCTTTCACCTTGCCGTTTAGGCCTATAGAATAATAGAGAAGATATCTCAACTTAACATCTGGGGGTAATCAGTCCTATTTCATCCTGATATAATATTGCTTTTTTTCAGTTAAAGTTTTTTAATATCTGAATAAGATGTGTTATTAAATATTAAATATTTCGTTTATTATTATTATTATTGGGTGTTGTTTTTATTCCTATTTTTATGGTTTTTAAATGCTTTACAAAAACGAGTTGGTACTTATCTTCAGTATGAATGTGGATATTCATAGATAGGCCTATGCTTTGAAAATTGTGTTTAAACGACATGAACTCTGTTAGAATCTGCGGTCATCCTCTACGTCTACGTGAATCACCTGATTTTCAATGTGAATTACTTAAAATTAGGTTAGCTAGCAGCAGCCTCTATCGTTACCTAGGTCTAATTTTATACGGGTGTGGTATAGTTACCCTTTCACACTTATGGATGAAGATACGATGCTAGACACCAATTAGAGAAATACCTTACACTAATTGTCTCAGCCTCGTCCCAACAACGAGCCATATAATCTGCCTTCGATCTTTTGTATTAATTCATTGTCAATCTCAGGTGTTTCGGTAGATTTTTTTTGGTTTTTTTTCATATACCTAGTCCACCATTTTTTTTGTTACAGTACGATGTGCTATATAAAAAAAAAAGCTTTTTGGAAACACTTTTTTTTTTGTTTTATATTTTAAACCTTGTTCACCTGTATTTTTCTGTATCCTCGGGGATCAATATTGTTGATACCCAATCCATTCCAAACCAATCTTGGACTTTTAAGGTGCACAAGCAATAGGCAATTAAATCGATGTATGCCACAGCATTGAGGTATAAAATTAACTGCTTTGGTCAAAGCTGGAGGTGGACTTTGAAATAAGAAAACAAAGGAGAAAAGTGTATAATAAAAAAAGTAAAGGAGAAAAGAAAAAGCAAAAGAAACAATACCATAAACCATCATAAAATTGATGCATTTGTAATTAA